CTGGGGTAAAAGTGTTATAATAGTGTCAAAATGGTGACTTTCCACTAAAATACAACCATCATTTTCTTGAAAAAAAGGCTGGTGACCGCCAACTTTTTTAAGGTCAATATCCTTGTATTGCCTTGGAGTACAGTTTATTGCAAAATGAATAAATTCTGGGGTTTTTAATTTATGAGTAGGCTTCTACCTTAAAGGATATGCACTACTGGTACAATTACAGTATGTGGGATGTATGGCAATGTGGTTTTTGTCTAGAATGGTATCATATTCTGGATATATGCTTTTATCAGAGAAGCACTTCTGTTAGCAAATATGGTATTTCTATTTATTGATTCACAGAATTAAGATCATATCAAGTTTACTATTTATAAATAATTTATCGATTTACAACTTGGGAATTTCTCTTTACTCACAGGGTATGCAGTACTTGTTGAACAAGGAAATAGTGGATAATAATGCTCTATCTATTGCACAGTTTATACATACAACAAACAGACTGGATAGAAAACAAGTTAGGATATTTGTAGACAACAGGTAGGCTTCAATTCAGTATTTATTATCCCTCTGCATATTGCCGACAGGGGATATAGTTATTACTGTTGTACAGAATACATAGTCATATCAGGAGCACTATTGCAGATAGAAACATTCACATACTGTTATATTGAAGACTTTGCACACTAGATCTGATCAACATATTTAATAACCATACATGGACATGTGACCTGATTAAAAAACTATATCGTCTTGAGCACTGTCATGATCATAGTGTAAAATACTTAATTTTCGCTTGCAATTAATTTTCGCTGAAGAAATGATTCAGTGAAAATAAAATCCAGCAAATATACCTTTTTTTCTATATTTTACATTCACAACTCGCCAAAAATCAGTGAAAATAAATTCCATATAAAATACCCAAAAGGTCTTTTCAGTATATAGTTATGTGACCTTATTACAAATGCATAAATATCGTATCTGGAGCATTGTTGCAGATAGAACTATTCAACCAGTACTTTAATGAGAACATTGGGCTCATGATCTGATCAACATATTTAGTCACCATATATGGTCACGTGACTAAGTACTTCATAAGTAGACTCATCTGCCTAATGCTTGAATGCATACTTGTATGCTATTTAATGCTTATTTATTCAACAAAATTACTTTACAAAGTCACGCCAGGTTGCCGGGGGATTCACACCTCTGATCATTTTCTTGTTTTGTTCAGCACTATGTGTAACAAATCAGTCAGTATACCATAAATGCATTAATTATTGAT